GTACCACAACATTATTATAACAAAACTGTTCAATTGTTTCAATTCTAACTTAACTCAAGCTTCTTGATACAGAACATCAAGGGTACCACAACATTATTATAACAAAACTGTTCAATTGTTTCAATACTAACTTAACTCAAGCTTCTTGATACAGAACATCAAGGGTACCACAGCATTAAACCTTAAGATATTATAACAAAACTGAAACCAGCTCAATGATGGTTTACACATTACAGCATTCAACTGAAGGACCCTAAGAAAAAATACTCATAATGTCATACAACTGTTTTTCAAAACATCACAACAACAAATATGCATTATACCAGCTATTCAAACTGGGCAATCACCACCATCATGAATACACCAACTAAAAGAGCAATAATCTCCTTGACAGACTGCCAAAACTTTGTGTCTTCAAGAATTTCTGGAATTACTGACACTGTAGCAATGTAGATGAAACCACCAGCAGTAAAAGGGAGAATCCATGTAGATGCTTCTTCTCCTGCTCCTTCTGCTATTAAGCTACATAGAGTTCCTGTCAATGCTCCAGCTGCTGTCACTAGCTGTAGCATCATAGCCTGGAAATCAAATACAAATACTGTTAAGACGAATATCCTACATTTTACTTAGATATGAAAATAGCCAAAGCAACTAGTAAATGTGAAAAACAAAAGTCATACAGACTATAAAAATGTTAAAGTTCATTCATTAACCCTAATATTCAGACAATTTTAACCAGCACATCCTCTTAGGCCACTTGACACTACTTAAATCATTTTGTAAAACAAATTTTTTAATGACTTGACTAAATATCTTAAACCAGAAAAATCACATATATAATGCCTATTTCAATTTTATCAATTAGCATTGAGAGACTCAAATTTACAGGTCTAAAAAATTAGTATTTCTAATTATTACTGTTTTTGAGCATTTCAACTCTCCAAGTAATCCAAAATATTGACATTATGATTTCTCATTATTATTTACCATTAAATCAAGGTCACTGAGCTAAATTTATTACTGTTAAGACTCACAAAAGTAATCAGCCAATCAAAATCAGTTTCCAGTTATTAACATTTTTGATCATTCCAATTATCCAAGTCTTAAGTGAGAATAATTGACTAGTTGAAAATAATCAACTACCAAATTCTACTAACTACTAGTTAAACATTGTAAATTTACCGTTTCAAAAATTAATAACTGTTAATTAATGTTGGTTGCAGATCTAGGGAAGAAGGTCTAGTGGATCTAGACCCCTTCAACTGTAGTATAAGCAGTCATGGACATAGTGGAAGGATCTGAGAGGTTGAGCCCCCTCAACCCATTTGTTAAAAATTAATAACTATAATTTATTGTTGTATAACAAACCTATACATCCTTTTACTACCATATAATATCAAAGATAAACACCAGATGTCAGTGTTTTTATTTGATTGAACTATTAATTATCAAATTTTTTTTTAGGTTTTCTGAACTCAACACAGCTGGAGTGTACAGCAACCCAGTTAAAACAGGTTGATTAAGGTGTAAATATTAACACAGCTGGAGTGTACAGCAACCCAGTTAAAACAGGTTGATTAAGGTGTAAATATCAACACAGCTGGAGTGTACAGCAATCCAGTTAAAACAGGTTGATTAAGGTGTAAATATCAACACAGCTGGAGTGTACAGCAATCCAGTTAAAACAGGTTGATTAAGGTGTAAATATCAACACAGCTGAAGTGTACAGCAACCCAGTTAAAACAGGTTGACTAAGGTGTAAATATCAACACAGCTGAAGTGTACAGCAATCCAGTTAAAACAGGTTGATTAAGGTGTAAATATCAACACAGCTGAAGTGTACAGCAATCCAGTTAAAACAGGTTGATTAAGGTGTAAATATTAACACAGCTGAAGTGTACAGCAACCCAGTTAAAACATATTGATTAAGGTGTAAATATTAACACAGCTGAAGTGTACAGCAACCCAGTTAAAACATATTGATCAAGGTGTAAATATTAACACAGCTGAAGTGTACAGCAACCCAGTTAAAACAGGTTGATTAAGGTGTAAATATTATTGTGTTACACTGCAAATCAAAATTTGTATAACCTTAGTGCTAAATAAACTATAAAATTTAGTTTTCTACATTATGTGTTATGTTTATAAAACTTTCCTGAATGTGTGTTCCTGTTGACAAACACTAGTACATCACAACATGGTGCAAGTATTCACAAAGAAATATTCTTTACCCACTTTATCACCATGTGATAAAATACAAATGTACAAGTGATTTTCAATAAAGAATAATAAAATCAATATGCACTTGCAAGTATTAAACATTTTATTAAAGTAACAAAACAAAAACAACATAAATGTTATTATACATTGATCACTATATCATAAAGATACACTCCATGATCGATTGTATTCTGCAATTTGAACTTAACCTTTATAAGGTATGGGAAAAAAATAAAATGCAAATTTGTGTTTGTGAAAATGTAAAAGACCATAGAAAAAAAGACACCAACCCTAAAAGATTTAAGACTTTTCCTCCAAAAAGTCCAAAGAACATAATCATATGTTTATTGGTCACAGATATTTCACCTGCTATTCATGTGTGCAAGTTTCATAATGAATCCATCCAGAAAACATAACTTTGATAAAAACTAGCTTGTCAATTTCTGCTAATAAACCTTAACAGAAAATTTATTGTATAATATTTCCCAGTATTTTTGTATAAATTTCAAGTTTGTTTTCCAAAGATAAAATTTAAAACTAGTTGTTTTACAGTTTACTGATGAAAATTGTACAAGTATCCTTTTTTGAGTACATTTTCACAAAGTATACATCTCAAACAATGTTATTCAATTCTGTAACATAAGTAAAAGAAACATGTAGTAACCTAAATACTACCAGTGATACAGTGTTATATTTAAAAGCAAAAGACTGGATGATCTTCATGCTGATGGAGGGGGGGGGGACCTACATAGTTTTCTTATATGTGAGAATAACCGAAACAATTAGTCAAAAATTGTCATGTTCATAATAAGAATTAAACTTGAAAATGAGAATCCTAAAAATATACATTCTTAATGACAATTCATATAATTTTAAATGGACAAAAAAAGGAGTTTATTAGCCCATCAAGGATGTCCCTACTAATTCCCAAGTATAACCACCCGTTACTTCTCATGTATTCATTCAATCTTTTCTTAAACTCAAGTAAATTTTCTGCCTCCACCACCCTTGAAGGCAGTTCATTCCAAAAGCCAACCATCCTGTTTGAAAAGTAATACTGTCTAAACTGCAGATGACTCTTATGCTGCCAAAATTTGATTTTATATTGTTGTAAGCAAGTTTACTTCAGTTCCATGGCAAGAAAGCTGCTGACATGAGTGATTTGTGTTGTTGTTGTTGTTGTTGCAATCAAGATTACATCAGTTCCATGGCAAGAAAGCTGCTGACATGAGTGATTTGTGTTGCAGTTGTTGCAAGCAAGGTTACATCAGTTCCATGGCAAGAAAGCTGCTGACATGAGTGATTTGTGTTGCAGTTGTTGCAAGCAAGGTTACATCAGTTCCATGGCAAGAAAGCTGCTGACATGAGTGATTTGTGTTGTTGTTGTTGCAAGCAAGGTTACATCAGTTCCATGGCAAGAAAGCTGCTGACATGAGTGATTTGTGTTGCAGTTGTTGCAAGCAAGGTTACATCAGTTCCATAGCAAGAAAGCTGCTGGCATAAGTGATTTTTGTTGTTGCAAACAAGGTTACATCAGTTCCATGGCAAGAAAGCTGCTGACATGAGTAATTTGTGTTGTTGTTGCAAGCAAGATTACATCAGTAGTTTTTACAAAATTAAAAGGGGGGTCCATATTAATTTGTTATATTTCTTTAAATAGACCAGAACTAGATTTTAAATTTAATATTAATAAGAGTAAAGACAAAGACTAACAGAATGATATCTGGTTTAAGCAGGGGTAAAAGTTAACTTTAAGGCATTAGTGAACCTCTATCTGCCTGTTTCAAAAGTTGGTAACAAAAGAACCTTAGACACAAGAAAACACAGATGTAACAAAATTAAAAATTTAACAGCTATTTTAAATGGACTGGATAACACACACTATCAAAGAGTAGACTGTATTCACCTAATGCTCAACTCTAGGCCTAATCAATATTTGTAATATATATACTACAAATATTGATTAGGCCTAGAGTATTTATGTTTATTTTACATTAAGAGTAAAAAGAACAAGAATCTATATTAAATATTGCATATGAAACTATATATTCCATCAACTTTGCTCTGACTTTTTCAGTTTTCTTCATATTTAGTGTAATTCAAATGCAACTTACTACTCCAGTCTCCTTCAAAGCCCACTACCTTACAAATGCAACTTACTGCTCCAGTCTCCTTCAAAGCCCACTACCTTACAAATGCAACTTACTGCTCCAGTCT